CCACACTACTCACCGGAAGAAGAGCTTGACAACAGAACGCCTCGCCGTGAGCTACTCCAGCCGAATCCAACGTACGCCGCCATCGCTCAAAGTGAACCGTCCGGCCAAGACACCTGGTTCTTGGACAGTTGCTGCGGGCAACACATGTGCTCGTCCGGGCGTTTCGTACAACGCGAACATCGACTCCAACGGGAAGTAATCATCACGGTTGCCAACAACCAAAACCTGCGCACACGAAGACAAGGAGTGGTACAGCTTCAGTCAAGAGAAACAAATGTCATACTGCACATGTCTAAGGTACTCATTGCTGAAGGACTCGGCTACAACTTACTGAGCGTTAGCCAGTTGATGGCGAAAGGAATTCATCTGGAAGCCGACAGCACGACCCAGGAGTTCAAGCTTTACCACGGGAGAGGCGGTCTCTACATCGGAAAAGCAGTGCTGAAGAACAACGTCTTCGTCCTCGACTTCGTTCCTGACCTCGGCACTGCAGACAGCGACGCCATCGTGAATTTCACTGACTGGACACACCCTCCGGATCTCGACCCCGACTTCAGCCCGGGAGGCTTCTGGTACTCGCACACCATTCCTGAAGCAGAACGAACACGAGCATTAGCAACAATTCGACAATCGGCAGCAGCAGCAACAACATCGGCAGCAGTAACAACATCGGCATCAGCAGCAACAACATCGGTAGCAGTAACAACATCGGCAGCAGCAACAACATCAGCAGCAGCAGAAACAACGACACCAGTCACAGTCGACGAAGCACCACCAACACCCGCGCAACAGCTGAATCCGACTCAACGTGAAGTCCACCGAAGCGCCAACCTCGTCGCCAGCTTTTACTCCAACTCCGACGCATATCAGCGTTCACCTGGACACCGCGCCTCTGAAGAGATCTGGCACGCACGAACAGGACATCCAAGCAACACGGTTTTGAATAACACGATAAGAGCAGGAGTCCTTGACAAAGATTCTCTACTTCTACCCGATGGCAGAGAACTCCAGAAGGCACGAGGGACTTGCCTTATATGTCCCGAAGCTGACTTACCTCATCGACCGTTTGCTTCACATCACAACCCGAGCGCTCCAGCGTACGCACCACTCGAAAAAGTCTACAGCGACATCCTCTACAATCGCGAACCAGGACAAGTCAACTACAACTACACCATCACCTTCATCGACGCCGCCACTCGATACGTCTGGCATCGCAACCTACCCAGCCGCGACATGGCGCTCGCAGCATTCGCCGCCTGGCTACCGATAGCAGAGAGAGAGTCTGGAACACAACTGAAAAATTTCCAGTCAGACGGAGGTGGCGAGTACACCTCTCACCGCTTCAAGCAGTTCTTGGCGGAAAGGGGGATCAAGCAACTCCTCTCCCTTCCCTACGCACATCAGCAGCAAGGTGTTGCAGAACGACTGAACAGGACCCTGCAGAACAGCATGCGCAAACTGTTACGTGGCATGCGGCTACCCAACCACCAGTGGCCAGCAGCAATGGACCACGCTGTCATGCTGCACAACTTGTTGTCGTCGTCGTCACTCCCGAACAACGCATCACCGCATCTGCTGTGGACAGGGAAGCAGGGCAGCACGAAAATGTTACGAGTTTTCGGGTGCATGGTACAGTACAGACCCCCAGAAGCACGAGCGGGAAGATTTTCGCAACGGGCACAGTGGGGACTACACCTCGGCATCGAGAAAAATTACAACGCATGGAGAATCTTCGACGTCCACACAAAGGAAACAGTAGCAGCACGTGACGTGATCTTCTACGAAAGACTCACCCTTCAGACGTACCTCGCCAACTTGCACGAGAATCGGGACCTCACCAGTGGTTTTCGTGGTGACCGAGCCTTCGCGTCAGCAGCGGATGAAGCAGACTGGGACGAGCAGAATGTTGACAACGCATCGGCAGAAGCCGGACCTCTCCCGTACTGCTCCATCAACGTGCCCATGGACGAAGAAAATCCTCGCGACAGTAACAACGCCGAAGTCTTCTACCACTTCGCCGATACCGGTTACGTAACACCTGCAACCGTCAACACAAATGAAGCAGAAAGGATAGGACCGAATTTCATCCCTGATCCAGAAGCGGGAGACGAAGCAGCTTATCCCGAGGATCCAGAACTCCCTCGATACTCACAGACTGGGCTGCAAATCCTCGGCCTCGTCACCGCAGTCCACGGGAACACACGCAGCTCGCTTCCTAAGGAGCCTGCAACGGTTCAGCAGGCTCTGGGGGGGGAACACAGGGAGAAATGGCGCGAAGCCATGGATAGAGAACTGAAGGCATTAGAGGAACGCAACACTTGGAAGGTTGTTCCCGTAAGCGTGGCACGGAACAAAACCATCCTTACCGGGAAATGGGTCTTCCGCATCAAGACGAAAGCAGACGGCACGATCGAAAAATTCAAAGCACGCTGGGTCGTACGTGGATTCGACCAAGAGCAAGGACGAGACTTCACCGAGACCTTTGCTCCAGTCAGCCGCCACACGTCACTCCGAATTCTCCTCGCCATTGCCGCCATGAAGAAGAAGAAGAAGTTACGGCAGATCGACGTCGCGAATGCCTTCCTCTACGCACCTGTGGATGCAGAAATCTACGTCGAGCTCCCGCACGGTTCCCACGGCGAACCCAACCGAATCTGTCAACTACTTAAGTCGCTCTACGGGATCAAGCAGGCACCGCGACTGTGGCAGCAGTACCTGCACGCCCGTCTCATCCGCATCGGCTTCAGTCAACTACCTCACGACCAAGGCATGTACCGCCTCACTAAGGGAAGCGACTACGTTCTCCTGATCGTCTACGTGGACGATCTCCTCTACATTGGGTCAACCGACGGCATCGCCACGTGGTTCGAAGGAGAGCTCCAGAAAGACCTCACGCTCACGGTCTCCTCCACCGTTACACAGTACCTCGGGCTCAACATCCGCGAAGAAGAAAACGCCATCTATCTAAGCGCCGAGAAATACGCCGACACCATCGCGAAACGCTTCAGCCTCACACCAAGCGCCATCTCCACGCCTTACCGCTACACATCAGGAACCGAGAAGGAACGAACTACTCTACTCAAGCCCGCCGGTATACGCGACTATCAGAAGAAGCTCGGATGCCTGCTATTCGCCGCCGTCACCTGCCGTCCTGACTTATCCTACTCCGCAAGTCAGCTCGCCACCTATCTCAAGAAGCCTGAAGCTGAACACCTGGCGGAACTTGATCGCGCTCTCCACTACTTCGTCAGCACCGCGACGATCGGGCTAACCTACCACAAGAGCGCAGCTACACCAACTAAGCTAATCGGCTACGTCGACGCCGATCACGCCGGCGACACCGACAACAGGCGCTCACGCACCGGCTATGTCTACCGCCTTGAGCCTATCGGTCCTATCTCCTGGCAGTCGAGCAAGCAGGAGTTAATCGCACTATCTTCAGCAGAAGCAGAATATATTGCACTCTGCTCAGCCACCAAGGAGGGACTTTACCTTCGCGAACTACTGGAAGAAGCGAAGCTAGCCGAGTTACCCAGCTTCACCGTGTTCTGCGACAACCAGTCAGCAATTCGCATCGCCAACAAAAACGGCTTCGCAAACAGGACGAAACACATCGCCCTGCGCTATTTCTTCGTGAAGGACGAGATAGAAAAAGGGAAACTCGATCTGTCATACTGCCCAACATCCGAGATGGCAGCCGATTACTTGACCAAGAAACTCGGAAAGCAGAAGTTCGAATACTGCATGATGCTGACTGGACAAGGCCACGTCACCAGCAGCGACACTCCAGAAGCGAAGGGGAGTGTTGGAAACAATAAGTCCTAAGTGCGCTTCTGTCGTATCAAAACCCAAGGCACCAAGCGAAGCAGTCCCAATCGAAGCATCGAGTCAACCTCGGAGGTTAGGGTAACCGCCTGGAGGTTACGAGAAAGTCAAAGGTCGCTGACCTTTGACTCGACAATTACAGCGCGACAGTTAAGGACACACAACTGACTCGTTACAGAGCAGTTGCCCGAGTCGCACTGTATTGAACCGCAACAGCAATACAGTTATCTACATATCTATTCGTATTCCCTGTACTCTTATATAAATCCTTGTATTTGCTTGTTTAATTCAATCAACTTTGCTCTCACACACCAGTGCAAGGTCGGTTCAAATTCTTCACTAAACGCTTCCGCTATTACAACTACTTCACCTAGAGTTATCCCTTGCAAAGATCCTAAGGGGCTATCTCAGCCCAACATAAAACACTGATGAAAGTCAGGGGAAACAATCTATAACTCGGATTTCATAAGGGTACAAAACTTCTAAACTCTTTATGAGTCAGGGTAAGAAATCCGGGAGCCTGACTGGGTCAGGGTAACCCCAAAAAAAGCGGCCGCCAGTCAGGGCAATCAGGGTATTTTACCCTGACATTTTGGGGCCTGCTCACGCCATCATCTCATGTCAAATCAGCTAGAGAAAGGGTCAATAGTACAGAATTCGTCATAGCGAGAACATATTTCTTCCTAGCTGTATGTGATGTTATGTGACACCTTTATACTGTCGATGCATCGTTATTGAATAATCTGCACTGCTGAAATCGTGGTAGCACATAGCAGCATTTGTGATGAATATCTCTAGCAGTAACACACTACTCATACTATGCACACGAGACTACAAAAGTTGTAAGCACCATCCACTACTAGCTGCGCCTATGCTTGCATCTGCTGGCCTGTTTCAGCATTACCAATTATCAGAGTATGCAGAAACGTTTGTGTGAAGACCCAATGGGGCCGTGCTGTGAGGGGGAAGAGGAGAAACAGAATCTGAATACAAGCAAGTAATGATACCATATAAGAACCTAGGGGGCAGAAGGGAAACGTCAGTGAGGGGGAAGGGGAGGGCATGCAAGGGAAGGGAAGGGAGAAGGGATCGGGAAGGGAAGGGTGGGCAGGGGAAGGGAAGCGTAGGGATGGGAAGGGGGTCAAGGAAGAAAAGAGGTGAAAAGAGATCCGAAATCAGGGAGTGTAGATGTGAAGGCAGGGAGTGGAGAGGTGAAGGTAGGGAGTGGAGATGTGAAGGCAGGGAGTGGAGATGTGAAGGCAAGGAGTGGAGACGTGAAGGGCCCCTCAGGTGGATTGCCTCGTCAGCGAGCGATGACTGGCCGTTGATGAGAGCCACTGAGAGGCCGACAGCTGGCGCCATGGTGTCAAGCACGTGCTTCACCTGCTGGAGTAGGCAGAATGGCACGGTGCCACACACCCTGCCAGTGTCTTGACAGGTGTGTTGGCAGGGAGATGAAAGGGACGAGAGGGATGGGATGGAAGGGCCGGGAAAAATGAAGGTGAAGAGGGCAGATGGTGAGGAATATAAGGGTGTTGGGAGGGTAGAGGGATGCAGTTGGGGACAGGAGGGATGCAGTGGGGGAAAGGAGGGGAAGCAAGGTGGGGGAAGGAGGGGAAGCAAGTGGGGGAAAGGAGGGGAAGAAAGTGGGGGAAAGGAGGGGAAGAAAGTGGGGGAAATGAGGGGAAGAAATTGGGGGAAAGGAGGGGAAGAAAGTGGGGGACAGGAGGGGAAGAAATTGGGGGAAAGGTGGGGAAGAAAGTGGGGGAAAGGAGGGGAAGCAAGGTGGGGGAAGGAGGGAAAGAAAGTGGGGGAAAGGAGGGGAAGCAAGGGCGGAAAGGAGGAAAAGCAGGGGTGAAAGGAGGGGATACAGGGTGGAGGTAGGAGGGAAAAGAGGGGAAGGAAGAGGGGGAAAGGAGGGGAAGCAGGGGCGGAAAGGAGGAAAAGTAGGGGGGGAAAAAGGGAAGCAGGGGCGGGATGGAGGGAAAGCAAGGGGGGAAAGGAGGGGAAGCAGGGGCGGGAAGGAGGACATGCAGGGGGGGAAAGGAGACGATACAGAGGGGGGTAAGAGGGAAAGGAGGGGAAGCAGGGCCGAAAAGGAGGCTCAGCAGGGTTGATGTGTCGATTTTGAATTCAAATAGGTTACGATGGGTGCGCGGCATGCACGGCAGGCTCGGCGAATGCCACGCGGCGGTAGTCTGAATGCAAAGCGGCGGGGAAAGGGCGCTAGCACACTCGATCGATGGTAGTTTTCAAGGCTTAGACTACATGTTTTGTAACTCACGCGCGACTAGGTGAAAATTCGCGTTGTCGGTATAGCCAGCCAACTTGGTTAGCTATACCACGGGAAATTCCTAGTATAGTCGCTGATTCGCCTCGCCAAGTGTGTGAGCGTAGCTTCGTAGTTTGTGACGGATTGCGGAAGGGGAGATGCGGCAAGGGAACGTCGAAGGGGGCTTGCGACAGGAGGAATGCGGCTTCTATGTGGCGGCGCGACGGCGACGGCGCGAATGCGTCTGGGCGCACGAGACGGTGCGAGCGCGTCTTCGTATACGCGCGAAGCCAAGATTGCGGTTGAGCAAAAGCGAGGCATCACTAGCACTCGCCATGTCGCCACTACTTGGTTTGTTCTACCTATTCTATTAGCTATGAGTCTCTTATTCTGCCAAGTGTGGGAGTGTGGCGTGGGGCTGTTCGCCAGCACGAATGAAGCAAAAAACCATGGGATAACGACGGGATCAGGAAGGTGGGTCTCGCCTTCCTGATCCCGTCAGTTAGGGTTCGTTTACCTCCGTCAGCCTGGTCAGCCTGTAAAAAAGGTGCCGAGCCTCCCCAACCGTCCAAACCAACAATCAAGGCCAAGTTCGGCAGGCATTATGGCCATTATGGCCATTATGGGCATTTTTAACGGGCCCCCAAAAAGTGCCCCATGGGCATTTTTTGGAAACAGCTTCTAAATCGGACAGTAGCTGGGGTGCACCTTAAAAAAAACGGGCTGACTGTTCGGTTGGAATTAATTGGGTGTAGATTGATTGCATCAATCTAAATTTTGGTTTCGCAGAAGATGGTAGGCAGTTTCTCAGATGAATCGCACCATCATGTGATTGGCTAAGATATTTGACCAGACACTGTTTAATGCCCCGAATCACTGATACCCCGCATGGTGCGGGGCCTCGAGGCCGCATGGTGCGGCGGATTAAAAAATGGGCACTTTGCCCGAGAAACTGGGTTCGTGGAGGCTTCTGTCGGGTGAAAACGCCTGCACATAAAGGGCTATTCGGAAGGCATTCCATTATTGTCAGGTTCGGCGTAGATCCGCTTATATCGAGCCTTGATAATAATTCACGTGCTTATCATGGAAGGTTCCAAGGTGGTCGTTTCACTGTAGCCCATCCGCCGAGGCCATTTTTATAATGCTTGCCGAACTGGGCCCAAAGTGGGTGTCTGGCGAACGCCCCCATTTGTCAACCAAAACGAACTGCTCGACGGCATATGGAAGCGGGGACGCAACTTCGTTCCCTGGCAAAGTTCTATGTCGGAACATTATAGTGTGAATAAAGGAACGTGAATGAAACGACTATGAACGAAGTGAGTACAAATAGGAAACCCTAATTGGGTTGTACCCCCTATGGGATACCCCACTATAGCCTACACAAATAAGTAAGCTATAATGTTCTGACACACCCCCATAGGCAAAGTGGGGGAGAACAAGGGGTCACAAGACCAGTCAAGCAAAGCAAAGCAAAGCTAAGGGTGGATCACAAAGTCACCACACATTCCGAGCACAAGTTCAAGGGCCACAAGGCCAGTTCACATGCAAGATCATATATAGAGATATACAAGAGTCAAGCAAGCAAGAGCAAGAGTATATATAGGTCAAGGTACAAGCAAGGTCAAGAAGTGAGCAAGTGAGGCAAGTCAGGCACAAGGCCCAGCTGCGTGCAGCAACGCTGATGATCACAAGGCGCAAGTGCCTTGGTGAAAACATCAGCAGTGTTGGCCTCAGAGGCCACGTACGCAAGTCGCAACTGTCCACGCTGCTGTAGCTCACGAGCAAGAAAGTAGCGGAGAGCAATGTGCTTTGTCCTGTGCTCCAGTCGCTGCTCTCGACACAAGGCCATCATGGCCTTGTTGTCTACGTACAGGACTGGAGGAGAACGAGGCGGCTCTCCAAGGTCGGTCAACAGGTAGGTGAGCCAGCGTAACTCCTGTGCAGCCATAGCCCCGGCGTAGATCTCAGCCTCACAACTGGAGCCGAGAACAGAAGACGAGCGGGTAGCCCGCCACGAAACAGAGCCGGAACCAAGGCTGAAGGTGTAACCCTGTGACGACCGCTGCGTAGCCTGGTCGTCAGCCCAAGAAGCGTCCGCGTGCCCAGTGATGACCACTGGACTGCGCCCTCCAAGCACTAGCCCCATGCCGGACGTACTGCACAAGTAGCGCAACACCCTCTTCGCTGCAGCCATGTGCTCTGGTCGGTGTCTCCCAGGAGCAACATAGCGTGCGAGAATGCTAAGAGGGTATGCAAGGTCAGGTCGTGTGCAGGTCATCAGGTACATGAGGCAGCCAACAAGCTCTGCATACGGGCCACTCGACTCTACGGACTCATCCGAAGGCAGAGCTGAGAGCGAGTGGCGAGTAGGCAGAGGAGTGGCCTGAGGCGAGGAGTACGTGAAGCCGAAGCGCTGAAGGACCTGCTGCACCATGTGTGACTGAGTCAGGGTAATGGTGCGGCGTGCTCTGTCCCGGGTGATCTGCAAGCCAAGGTAGCTGCGCAGTTCACCCAGGTCGGTGCACGTGTGTCTCTTCTGCAGCTCGGACTTCACGTAGGCTAGTCCAGCAGTGTCAGCTATGGCAAAGACCAAGTCGTCGACGTACACGATGATGTAGAACGGCGGCAGAGAGGTGTTGGTGCGCAGAAACAGCGACGGGTCGGTAGTAGAAGGAGCAAACCCAAGTGCCACCAGCGTAGTCCTCAGTGTGTCGTGCCACTCACGTGGCGCCTGGCGGAGACCGTAGAATGGACGCCGGAGACTCCACTGGGTACCAGGAGGGAAAGACCCAGTGAAGCCAGGTGGGCGACGCAGCCAGATCTCCTCGTGCAGGCTGCCCTGCAAGAAAGCTGTGCTGAAGTCGAGAGAGTGGAGCTCGTAGTCACGGTGAGCAGCAACGTGCAGCAGAACCCGAAGAGTGGTCATCTTCGGGGTGGGGGAGAAGGTATGAAAGTAGTCAACCCCCTGCCGCTGACTGAAGCCACGAGCCACGTAACGCGCCTTGAAGACAGGCGGAGAACCCGGCGGCCGCTTCACCCTGAAAATCCACATGCCACTGACGATGTTCGCCCCAGGAGGGGGAACAGCGTCGACGTAGGTGCCTGTGGACTTCCAGGAAGCCATCTCTGCATCCATAGCTGCCTGCCACTGAGAGGAGTAGGGACCCTCTATCGCCTCCGCGTAAGAGCGCGGAGTCGGGATGTCTAGTGCATCCGGGTCTCCCTCAGGGGCTAGCAGTACCGACGTGAGATGAGGTGAAGCGGCGGCCAGACACTGGAACTCCTCCTACCTGTCCTCAAGGACGTCCGTGCCAAGGGCACACTCACCCCCGACGGACAGAGGACAGGCAGACTCAGACTCAGCGACAAGACTAGCAGCGTAGTCTAGACGACAGCGCGCAGCAAAGTCGACGAGCTGAGTGACAAGGGCAGACGCAGCAGAAGACTCGAAGGAAGGGTCAGTGACAGCAGTAGCAAGGAGACGCGTGACAGTAGGACTGGCAGCACGAAGAGAGTCCGACTCCGGGTCGGCAAGAGCAGGAAGAGAGGAAGAAGGAGGAGAAGGCAAAGGGGCACGCAGAGGAGCAGTAGACGGACGCAGAGACATCCGGTGCGTGCCAGGGACAGGAGGAGGACGCTGACGCGAACCGCGACCACTAGCGCGCGCAGTACGAACAGGCGACGCAGGACGAGACGCAGGCTCACGACGCTCAGTAAGACCTCCAGTCGGACCAGCGTAGGGAGAAGGAGCAGGCAAAGGGGAGGCAGGCTGTAGCTGTGACTGTGACGAGACAGGCTGTGGACCCTCTAAGGGAGGAGGAGGAGGACCAGGAGAAGGTGTAGGACCAAGAACCTGCTGCAGGAGCGGAACGAAGTACGGTCGGGGCCTCGCGGCGACGCCAGAAACAGCAGGGACAGCACCAGTACCCCAAGCAGGAGTACCCGCTCCAGCAGCACCTCCAGCAGCACCTCCAGTAGCTCCAGAACCTCCAGCAGCACCACCAGGAGCACTGCCAGTCGGACCGCCAGCGGCAGTCTCAGCGCCAACACCCTCAGCAGCACCAGCTCCAGGAGAACCCTCAGACCCAGCAGCTCCAGCACCCACAGTACGAGCACCTCCGGGACGCTCGGCAGCAGTACCCTCTACAGCCGAAGAACCTCCAGTACCAGCAGCACGCCTCCAGCGCCTGGCAAACCACTCACGCAGCTCCTGTGGGGAGAGTGGCTCTCGGCGAGACGAAGCACCTCCAGGCGGAGCACCCCCAGTCTCAGCACCCCCAGGCTCAGCACCCCCAGGCTCAGCACCCCCAGGCTCAGCACCCCCAGGCTCAGCACCTCCAGACTCCGCACCCCTAGGCTCAGCACCCCCAGGCTCAGCACCCCCAGGCTCAGCACCTCCAGACTCCGCACCCCCAGGCTCAGCACCCTCAGGCGTAGCACCTCCAGTCCCAGCACCCCCAGGCTCAGCTCCCGCAGCAGCACCAGAGTCACCAGTGACCTCGACAGGCTCGACCGCGTCTACCTGGGACACACCTGAAGGGGCAGGACCTGGAGGGGGGAGGGGGTCTACCGGGGGGGGGACCTGGTACCAAGAAGAGCGGGGGCGGGGGGAGGGACGGAGTGCGGTAGGGGAAGAGGCGGTAGAAGGGTACCGACTCGTCGAACGTGACGTCCTAGGAGGATAGAACACGTCGAGAGGTGGGGTGGTAGAACTGCCACCCAGGGGCGTCGGGGGGGAACCCCAGGAAGAGGCAGGGAGCAGCGCGAGGGGACAGCTTGTCCGCAGACAAGTCGCGGACAAACGCCCGAGATCCCCAGACCCGGAACGCCGACGCATCGCCAACCTTCCCCGTCCACAGCAGGGCTGGGGAGGTCTCCGGCCTGGAGACC